GTTGCCTGTAGCTTAAGCCTAAAGTATAGCACTGAAAATGCTAAGATGGTACAACCCTCCAACAAAGGTCTTGGTCTTAAACCTCATATTACCTAAAATCATTTGTTTATACATGCAAGCCTCACCACAACGGTGAAAAGCCAAACAACCTAGAGCCGGCATCAGTCATTTACCATAACGCCAAGCAATAGCCACACCCCCACGGGCAACACAGCAGTAATTAATATTAGGCCATAAGTGAAAACTTGACCAAGCGAAATGAACAAAGGGCCGGTTAATCTCGTGCCAGCGACCGCGGTTACACGATAGGCCCAAGATAATATTAACGGCGTAAAAATGACTAAAACAAAAGTCTTTAAACCTTAGGGTAAAAACTAAACTGGGCTGTAAAAAGCCATAAGTCACATTAATTCTTCCCCCTAACACTGCACAACTTTGACTCATAAAAGCTGGGACACAAACTAAGATTAGATACCTTACTATGCCCAGCCGTAATACACAATTAAATTACCAATTGTCCGCCAAACAACTACGAGTTATACTTAAAACTTAAAAGACTTGACGGTACTTCACCACAACCTAGAGGAGCCTGTCTAATAACCGATAATCCACGATTAATCTCACCCTTTCTTGCCCAACAGTCTATATACCGCCGTCGCCAGCCTACCTTGTAAAAGAAATAAAGTAAGCCAAACAGTACTACACTAAAATGACAGGTCGAGGTGTAACCAATGAAAGGGGCTAAGATGGGCTACATTCTCCAACCGAGAATACGAACAGCACTATGAAACAAGTGCCCAAAGGCGGATTTAGCAGTAAGATAAGAATAAAACACTTAACTGAACACAACGCAATGAAGTGCGTACACACCGCCCGTCATCCCTGTCACCAAAACATCCAATATTAATAAACCAACGAAAGGACCAAGCAGGGCAAGTCGTAACATGGTAAGTGTACTGGAAAGTGTACTTAGAAACAAAAAGTAGCTTACAAAAAGCACTCGACCTACACTCGAACGACATTAACATTAATCTTTTTGAGCTGACTAAACGACTAAACACAAACATACAATACAAAATAAACAAATCATTTGCCTCACTTAGTAGTTGCGATCGAACAGTCACAAGTCACAATAAAGTACCGCAAGGGAACCCCACCAAGCAACGAACAGCAAAGACTAACCCTTGTACCTTTTGCATCATGGTCTAGCAAGAACACGTGGACAAGAAGAATCACAGCCCACTACCCCGAAACCGTATGAGCTATTTTTAAGCAGTCTAACGGACGCACCCTTCTATGTAGCAAAATAGTGGGAAGACTTAAAAATAGAGGTGAAACGCCTACCGAATTCGGAGATAGCTGGCTACCCCAAATAGAATCTAAGTTCTACTTTAGAACAACATTTAATTAATTAAAATCTAAAGACAATCAACAAAGGTACAGCTTTGTTGATTCAGGATACAACCTGAGTTTGTAAGAAACTATAACCCTCAAACCCGTAGGCCCTCAAGCAGCCACCATAAAAAATATCGTCAAAGAATTAAATTAAACAAAACCAACACCAACTAAAAACTTCAAATTAACTAAAGGTGGATCTACACAGGTAGATATCATTATGCTAAAACTAATAATAAGATTACATCTCTTTACGCACCCCTCCACTAGTAACAGAAAAACTACTAGTAATTAACAGACCACAAAAGGCAAACAACAAACCCATACACACCTTAAAACCAACTGTGACCCCGACACAGGAGCGTCAAAAAGAAAGATTAACTGTTATAAAAGGAACTCGGCAACCAGGGGCTCCAACTGTTTAACAAAAACATAACCTTTAGCCAAACAAGTATTAAAGGCGACGCCTGCCCAGTGAACTATTAAACGGCCGCGGTATCCTAACCGTGCAAAGGTAGCATAATCATTTGTCTATTAATTGTAGACCTGTATGAAAGGCACAATGAGAGCCCAACTGTCTCTTATAACAAATCAATTAAACTGATCTCCTAGTACAAAAGCTAGAATATCAACATAAGACCAGAAGACCCTGTGAAGCTTTAACTAACCTATTAAACCCAATAATAATTACTTTCGGTTGGGGCGACCTTGGAACAAAAAAGAACTTCCAACACATGACTTCTTCATAAAACAGGCATACAAGCCAATACTAGACCCAGCACAGCTGATAATTGAAATAAGTTACTCCAGGGATAACAGCGCCATCTTCTTCAAGAGCCCATATCAAAAAGAAGGTTTACGACCTCGATGTTGGATCAGGACATCCCAGTAATGCAACCGTTACTAAAGGTTCGTTTGTTCAACGATTAACAGTCCTACGTGATCTGAGTTCAGACCGGAGCAATCCAGGTCAGTTTCTATCTATGCAACGCTTCGCCTAGTACGAAAGGACCGGCACAGCAAAGCCAATGCCACACGCACGCTTTAATCACAAAATACAAGACCTATTAACAAACATCTCACTACAAACCTAGATAAGGTTAATTAAGGACGACTGAACCTTAATAATTCCAACCCTACTTAGCATCATAAACCCCCTACTATATATCCTCCCTATTCTCATCGCAGTCGCATTCCTCACCCTTTTAGAACGAAAACTACTAGGATACATGCAACTACGTAAAGGCCCTAACCTGGTAGGGCCCCTAGGACTACTACAACCCATCGCAGATGGTTTAAAACTAATTACAAAAGAAACGACCAAACCAACCCTTTCATCTCCGATCCTATTCACACTCTCCCCAATCATAGCCCTATCTCTAGCCCTAATCTCTTGAGCACCAATACCCATACCAAACGCACTAACCAATATAAACCTCGGTTTACTCTTCATTATAGCCATATCTGGCATATTCACATACGCTATTCTATGATCCGGATGGTCATCAAACTCAAAATATCCTCTAATAGGCGCAATGCGGGCCGTGGCTCAAATCATCTCTTACGAAGTAACATTAGGACTAATTATCATCTCACTAGCCACTATCTCGGGAAACTACTCCCTATCCTCCTTCACAGAAGTACAAGAACACTCTTGACTCCTATTTGCATCCTGACCCCTAGCCATAATATGATTTACCTCTACCCTAGCAGAAACCAATCGATCTCCATTCGACCTAGCAGAGGGAGAGTCAGAACTAGTCTCCGGATTCAACCTAGAGTTCTCAGCCGGACCATTTGCCCTACTTTTCCTAGCCGAATATACTAACATCTTACTAATAAACACCCTCTCAGCCATAATATTTATAAACCCAGGAACCTCAAGCCCAGAACTATTCACAATAAACCTAATAATAAAGACAATATTAATAACAACACTATTCCTATGAATCCGTGCCTCATACCCACGATTTCGATATGACCAACTAATACACCTACTATGAAAACAATACCTTCCACTCACCCTAGCTATATGCCTACTTAACTTATTTACAACAACAACATTCTGCGGGATCCCCCCACAATGGAAGCGTGCCTGAGAACACAAGGACTACCTTGATAGAGTAGATACGGGAACCACTACCCCCACTTCCCACATCAAAGAGGGTCTTCCATCCCTGGCCCCCAAAGCCAGTATTTTACTACTTTAAACTACTCTCTGAAAAATCCATAAAACCGTAAAAAATAACTCTCCTAGGACCCCCCCCCTACCCCCCCCACAATTTTGATCCGGAATTCGGCCTATATATGTACTCTTTACATATATGGTCCTCATATTGCTATGTATAATAATACATTAATCGTTTTGCCTCACGCCTATTAAACGAGAATCTGACTTTAATTAATTATATACAAAACTGGCTCATTCACATACTTTCCCCCCCTCATTTTCTGGTCGTTCCATTTAACATAGGTTGTCCGTTATTAGTAACCATGGCTATCTACTTCAAACCGGTGTCCCATGATTTATCCCTTCCCGTGAAATCCTCTATCCTTTCCCCAAAAGCACACAGTCCCGCTTTTCACGTCCATATATTGTAACTCCTCCCGTCTATGTCCTTTCCAAGGCCGCTGGTTACACCTTCAAGAACACCTCAATGGTCCGGAACCACCCCGCCTTACTTGCTCTTTCCAAGACCTTTGGTCGCACCCTTTATCCTGGTACATTTGGCCTCATGTTCTGATCACGTATGCCTGCGCCACCCCTGGTTGCCTTTTTTAAGGGTACCTTTCACCTGACACCCATATATGCCCGTTACCGTCACCCCTCTCCGGGGTAGACCATTAGTCCAGGTGGAGCTATATTCTTGGTCTAGCACTTTCTCCTATATGGATACATCTCTTAATGCTTGTTAGACATATTCTTCCATACTGCTAAAAATTCCATTCTTTTTTACTAAAGAAATCCCGCTTTGAGCACGTTTTTTTACCCGATTTTTCAAATTTTCACCAAAATCAATACCACTTTTCCATACTAAAATTACAAACCCGAAATCCTATAAGAAGTTATTTTTACAAAACCGTTTTATTTTTTTTTTAACGCGAGAGAAAAAGATTATAAGAAATCCTATCGATATTTGGAGCTACCAGATATCTGCTATTTTTCACAGCACCTCGAATCATGAGCGCAAATCACCCGTGGACAAACACAGCCGTTTTCACCTTTATTTTTGAATCACTCCCGAGTTTTTATATATTAAGGTAGCAAAGCACGGCCATGCAAAAGGCTTAAAACCTCAACACAGATGTTCGAATCATCTCCTTAATACTAGAAAACCAAGATTCGAACTTGAACTTAGAAGCCCAAAACTTCTAATACTACCTTATAATATTTTCTAAGTAAAGTCAGCTAAAAAAGCTACCGGGCCCATACCCCGAAAATGTCCACAGGACCTTTACTAATCAACCCAATATCACTAATAACCATTACAGCCAGCATCATCATAAGCACCCTATTAACCACTACAACAACACACTGACTTATAGCCTGAGTCTGCCTAGAAATTAATACCCTATCTATAGTACCAATAATCTCCAAACCCCACCACCCTCGAGCAACAGAGGCAACAACAAAATACTTCCTTACACAAACTCTTGCCTCCATGACTATCCTATTCGCAACAACCATAAACGCACTAAACACCTCAAATTGAGAAATTTCCCTCACCACAGAAACTACAACCATAAAAATCATCACCTTAGCTCTAATAATAAAAATAGCAGCAGCACCATTCCACTTCTGACTCCCAGAAGTAGCACAAGGCACTACAACACTAACAACTCTAATTATTCTAACCTGACAAAAAATCGCCCCCCTTAGCATTCTAATAATAAACCACAACAACACCAACCTAACAATCCTAAGCTCATCAGCAATCCTGTCCGTAATTGTGGGGGGGGTAGGGGGACTTAACCAAACCCAACTCCGAAAACTTTTAGCCTTCTCATCAATCGCCCACACAGGCTGAATCCTCGCTACTATCACCCTAGCACCAAACATCTCCACTCTCACCTTTCTAATTTACACAATAACCACCACCCCCATCTTTCTCACACTAAACACATCATCGACAACAACTATCAAAGATATAGGAATCATATGAACTACCTCCCCACACCTTATACTAATCACACTACTAATCATCCTATCTCTTGCCGGCCTACCCCCTCTCACAGGATTTATACCAAAATGACTCATCCTAAACAAAATAGCCGCCCTCAACCTAACGACAGAAGCCACCCTCATAGCCATATCCTCCCTTCCCAGCCTTTATGTCTATATCCGACTAACCTATATTCTAACCATAACTATACCCCCCCACACATCCACCACACAAATAAAATGACGATCATCACACAAAACACACCCCCTTCTATCAACCACACTAGCGACCATAATAATATTACTCCTGCCACTCTCACCAAACATATAGAAACTTAAGTTATATTAAACTAGGAACGCCTTCAAAGCTCCAAATAAAGCACTACTTTAGTTTCTGCTAGAACTTGCAGTATCACTACATCCTCTGCTTGCAACACAGATATTTTAACTAAACTAAAGCTCCCCTAGATTAGCAGGCCTCGATCCCGCAAAAAACTAATTAACAACTAGCTGTCCAAACCAACGGACTTTAACCTACCTTCTCCGTTTTTTGGGGGGGGGAAAAAACGGAGAAGCCCCGGGCGGTAGGCCGACTTCAGATTTGCAGTCTGACATGATGACACCTCGAGGCCTGATAGCAAGGAATTACCTATGTGTAAATTTACAGTTTACCGCTTAAATCAGCCATACTACCCGTGTACATTACCCGTTGACTATTTTCAACAAACCACAAAGATATCGGAACCCTATACCTTATATTTGGTGCATGATCCGGTCTTATCGGGGCCTGCCTAAGCATTCTAATACGTATAGAATTGACACAGCCGGGATCCCTATTTGGCAGCGACCAAATCTTTAATGTATTAGTAACCGCCCACGCATTCATCATAATTTTCTTCATAGTTATACCCATCATAATCGGGGGTTTTGGAAACTGACTAATTCCCTTAATGCTAGGAACCCCCGACATAGCCTTCCCCCGAATAAACAATATAAGCTTTTGACTGCTGCCACCAGCACTACTCTTACTACTATCCTCTTCTTACGTAGAAGCTGGCGCAGGAACAGGTTGAACCGTCTATCCCCCTCTTTCCGGAAATTTAGTTCACTCAGGCCCATCAGTAGACCTGGCCATCTTCTCACTCCATCTAGCAGGAGCCTCATCAATCCTCGGAGCAATCAACTTCATCACCACATGCATCAATATAAAACCTAAGTCCATACCAATATTTAACATGCCCCTATTCGTTTGATCAGTTATAATTACCGCAATTATACTACTCCTAGCATTACCCGTACTCGCAGCAGCAATCACCATACTCCTAACAGATCGAAACTTAAATACAACCTTCTTTGACCCCTGCGGGGGCGGCGACCCCGTTCTATTCCAGCACTTATTCTGATTCTTTGGCCACCCGGAAGTATATATCCTAATCCTGCCCGGCTTCGGCATTATCTCTAGCATCATCACCTTCTACACAGGGAAAAAAAACACATTTGGATACACCAGCATAATCTGAGCAATAATATCCATCGCAATCCTGGGCTTTGTAGTCTGAGCCCACCATATATTTACTGTAGGCCTAGACATCGACAGCCGTGCCTACTTTACAGCAGCCACAATAATTATCGCAATCCCAACAGGAATCAAAGTCTTTGGCTGACTAGCCACCCTCACCGGAGGACACATTAAATGACAAACCCCAGTCTATTGAGCCCTGGGATTCATCTTCCTGTTCACCGTGGGCGGTATAACCGGAATTATCCTAGCAAACTCATCCCTAGATATTGTACTCCATGACACCTATTATGTCGTAGCACACTTCCACTATGTTTTATCCATAGGAGCAGTATTCGCCATCATGGGAGGCCTCACCCACTGATTCCCCCTATTTACAGGATATTCCCTAAATCAAACTCTAACTAAGACTCAATTCTGAGTAATATTCCTAGGCGTCAACATAACATTCTTCCCACAACACTTCCTAGGACTATCCGGAATGCCTCGCCGATACTCAGACTTCCCAGATGCCTTCACCCTATGAAACACCATCTCATCAATTGGCTCAACAATCTCCCTAGTCGCAGTACTAATATCACTATTTATTATCTGAGAAGCGTTCACATACAAACGTAAACCAGCACTCCAACTTGGAAAAAAAACTCACATCGAATGACTATACGGAACGCCCCCCCCACACCATACCCACACCGAGCCTACTTTTATACCAAATAATACATATGCCCCAATCCGAGAATATCTCTCATATATACAGTGGCCCTGACCCGAGAAGAGGCAGATTTCAACTACCACTTGTTAATTTCAAGTTAACCGCACACTTATGCTTTCCTCCCGAGAACCTAGTAAACATATTACATGACTTTGTCATAGTCAAATAACAGCATCTGTGGTTCTCAATGCCCCACGCAACCCAACTATCACTACAAGAAGCTCTAGGCCCAACAATAGAAGAAGTCGTATTCCTACACGACCACGTCCTTCTTCTTACATGCCTAATAACACTAGTAATCCTAATATTTACTATCACCGCAACTGCAACAACCTTAACCCACAACGACCCCTCAGAAGAGGTAGAACAACTAGAAGCCGCATGAACAGCCGCCCCAATCATAATTCTCATCCTAACAGCCCTCCCATCAGTCCGATCCCTGTATCTAATAGAAGAAGTATTCGACCCCTATCTCACAATTAAAACCACTGGCCATCAATGATACTGAAACTACGAATACTCGGACGAAACCCACATTTCGTACGACTCCTATATACTACAAACACACAATCTTCCAAAGGGCTCACCCCGCCTGCTTGAAGTCGACCACCGCATGGTTATACCGGCAGGCCTGCAAACCCGAATTGTAGTAACCGCAGAAGACGTGCTCCACTCATGAGCAATCCCATCCTTAGGTATTAAAGTAGACGCCGTACCAGGACGCCTAAATCAAATTCCACTAGCAACATCTCGGACCGGAGTATTTTTCGGTCAGTGCTCCGAAATTTGCGGAGCAAATCACAGCTTTATGCCTATCGCAGCAGAAGCTGTCCCCTTATACCACTTCGAACAATGATTAGCCTCAGAACAATCGCTAAGAAGCTTATATAGCATCAGCCTTTTAAGCTGAGGAGGAATAATGCTTTCCTTAGTGAATGCCACAACTAGACATTGTACATATCCTTACGGTTTACCTATGAACCTGACTAACTCTTACCCTAATTACACTAAAAATTAAAACCTTTATATTAATCACCAAACCAAAAAAACAAGCCGCTTTAAGTCTCAAATCAACGACACCGCACTCACCATGAACATAACCATATTCGAACAATTCACAAGCCCAGAACTTATCCTAATCCCCACAACCCCACTATCAATCATAATCCCATTTTTCCTAATCTACCACAAACCAAAACTTATCGGAAATCGCATAATAACCGTCACCACCCTATTCTTAAAAATGTTCATATCAAACATAACAAGCCAACTCACCCCAGAAGGACAAAAATGATCCCGCATACTAGCCAGCCTCATCCTCATAATCCTACTATCTAATCTACTAAGTCTACTACCATACACCTTCACATCAACCTCCCAACTATCAATAAATATGGCCCTAGCCCTCCCCCTATGACTAGCTACCGTTATTACCGGCCTAAAAAACAAACTGTCTATAACACTAGCCCATCTTCTACCAGAGGGCTCTCCAACCCCACTAATTCCATTTATAATCCTAATTGAAACAGTTAGCCTATTAATACGACCCATCGCACTAGGGGTGCGACTAACAGCCAACATTACCGCCGGCCATCTCCTTATAACAATAGTAAGCTCCACCACCATCAACCTTATTAACACCTACATCTCCATCAGCTCATTAACATTTATCCTGTTGTCCCTACTCACACTCCTAGAACTAGCAGTAGCCTGCATCCAAGCCTATGTCTTTGTCCTTCTAATCATCCTATATCTACAAGAAAATACATAATGACTCACCAACTACACCAATATCACATAGTCGACCCAAGCCCATGACCCTTGACCGGAGCAGCGGGCTCCTTACTTCTAGCTTCAGGACTAGCCCTGTGATTCCACACGACTTCAACCCTGGTATTAAAACTAGGGCTTCTCACTCTCACACTTACCCTCATTCAATGATGACGAGACGTCATCCGAGAGGGCACCTACCAAGGACACCATACTTTAGGCGTACAAAAAAACATACGGTACGGTATAATTCTATTCATCACATCAGAGGTATTCTTCTTCCTAGGCTTCTTTTGAACCCTCTACCATGTCAGCCTCGTACCTACACCAGAACTTGGCGCAGAATGACCCCCGGCCGGGATCATCCCACTAAACCCAATAGATGTTCCCCTACTCAACACCGCAGTTCTACTTTCATCCGGCGCAACCATTACATGATCACACCACACTATGATAAAAGGAAATAAAAAAGAAGCTACATACGCACTAATAATTACCATTCTTCTTGGGGTCTATTTCACAGCCCTCCAAGTATCAGAATATATAGAAACACCATTTACCATCTCTGATAGCGTATACGGCTCACTATTTTTTGTAGCCACAGGCTTCCACGGCCTCCACGTAATAATCGGAACCTCCTTCTTAATAATCTGCCTAATACGCCTCATACAATTTCACTTTACAACTACCCACCACTTTGGATATGAAGCCGCAATCTGATACTGACACTTCGTAGACATTGTCTGACTATTCCTATACGTCTCAGTATACTGATGAGGCTCATATTTCTTTAGTATACAAGTATAAATGCCCTCCAAGCATAAGGCCCCCACAGGGAAGAAATAATTAGCCTCACTCTCCTTATCATCATAGCCACAGCAACAGCAACCCTCTTATTCGCCATCAATGCCCTAATACCAACAAAACCGGATATTAACAAACTTTCCCCCTATGAGTGCGGATTTGATCCATTAGGCAATGCACGCTCCCCCATCTCCATCCAATTCTTCCTGGTTGCAATCCTATTTATTCTATTTGACTTAGAAATTGTCTTACTCCTTCCCATCCCTTGAAGCATTAATACAAACCCAACAACCACTACCATAACTATAACCACGGCCCTTCTAATTATCCTAACACTAGGCCTCGTATACGAATGACTCCAGGGCGGACTAGAATGAACAGAATGTCGGGGTAGTCTAACCAGATATTTGATTTCGACTCAAAAGAACTTAACTAATTAAGCCCCAATAATGGAATTAACCAAAACTATTCTTGCTATAGCCTTCATAACTACTATCTTAAGCCTATCCACACAACACAAGCACCTTATACTAGCACTTATATGTATCGAAACAATAATAATTCTTCTATTTATACTACTAGTCACGTACACCTCAACCTCACTAACCCTATCACAAGCCCCAATACCAATTATCCTGCTAACTATCTCTGTCTGCGGGGCAGCAGTGGGCCTCAGCCTAGTCGTCGCAATCACACGAACTCACGGAAACGACTTCCTAAAAAACTTAAACCTCCTTTAATGCTTAAAATCCTCATAATAACAACAATATTAATTCCAACAATTCTTACCCTAAAACCCAAAATGCTATACCCAACAACAACCTCTTATATATTTATACTAGCATTACTAAGCCTAACCCTACTAGAACCTAAATCAAACATACTTCTAAGCCTAGACCATATCTCATCACCTCTACTTACACTATCTTTTTGACTCCTTCCACTAATAACCATCGCTAGCCAACACGCAATAATCAAAGAACCCCTACAACGACAACGAATCTTCCTAACAACACTCACCCTCTTACAACTATTTATTTCAACAACATTCATAGCATCCAACCTAACCCTAATATATATCATATTCGAAGCCACCCTGATCCCCACCCTAATCATCATCACACGATGAGGACAACAAACAGAACGACTAACCGCAGGAACATACTTTATATTATATACACTAACAACCTCATTACCACTACTTATAGCCATTATTTTTATCAATAACTCAACAAATACCCCAACCCCCTTCCTCCAACTACTGCACCCCCCAAACCAATGAACTAGCCTCCTACTATGACTAGCCTGCCTAACCGCATTTCTAGCAAAAATACCTATTTACGGACTACACCTCTGACTCCCAAAAGCCCACGTAGAAGCCCCAATCGCCGGCTCAATAGTCCTAGCCGCAATTCTATTAAAACTTGGAGGATATGGCATCATCCGCATAATACAAGTCCTGCCCACAACAAAAACAGATATGTTCCTCCCATTCATCGTACTGGCCCTATGGGGGGCCATCCTAGCCAACCTAACATGCCTGCAACAGACAGACCTAAAATCCCTAATCGCCTACTCCTCCATCAGTCACATAGGCCTAGTAGTAGCCGCAATCATCATTCAAACACCATGGAGCCTATCCGGAGCCATAGCCCTAATAATCGCTCACGGCTTTACCTCCTCAGCACTCTTCTGTCTAGCCAACACAACCTATGAACGCACACACACCCGAATCCTAATTCTAACACGAGGATTCCACAACATTCTCCCTATAACCACAACCTGATGACTACTAACCAACCTCATAAACATTGCCACCCCCCCCGCCCTTAACTTCACAAGTGAACTACTAATTATATCTTCCCTATTCAACTGATGTCCAACAACTATCATCCTACTCGGATTATCAATACTAATCACCGCCTCCTACTCCCTACACATATTCCTATCAACACAAATAGGACCAACTCTACTTGACAACCAAACGGAACCAACACACTCACGAGAACACCTATTAATAACCCTACACATTATTCCACTCGTAATAATCTCTATAAAACCAGAATTAATCATTAGAAGTGTGTGTAATTTAAAAAAAATATCAAGTTGTGACCCTGAAAATAGATATCACCTCACACACCGAGAGGTTTAAAAGACCTGCTAACTCTTCAATCTGGTAGAATACCAGCCCTCTCTTCTATTAAAGGAGAACAGTCACTCCACTGGTCTTAGGCGCCAAGGCTCTTGGTGCAAATCCAAGTAATAGAAAATGAACCTAGTCGCACCAACCATTATCCTAACTATCTTCTTTTCCCTAATCATATCTACAATACTACCCCTCTCCAAACACAACCTAAACAACACCAAACACACCCTAATATTGACATTTATAATCAGCACGATTCCCCTCAACTCGCTACTAAATGACAACTGCGAACTAACAATAACACTACTTCCCCTAATTACCACCCCAACAGAAAACATCAACATTACCATCACACTAGACACACTATCACTAACCTTTATCCCAATAGCATTATTTATTACATGGTCTATCACTGAATTCTCCATCTGATATATAGCATCCGACCCTAATATCACCAAATTCATTAAATATTTAATCACATTTCTGATCACAATAATAATCATCATTACAGCCAACAACATATATCAACTCTTTATCGGCTGAGAGGGCGTAGGAATTATATCCTTCCTCCTAATCGGATGATGAGGGGCACGATCAAACGCTAACACAGCAGCCCTACAAGCCATTATCTACAATCGAATCGGAGATATCGGACTCATCATCACTACCACCTGACTTATCACTTTCTCCTCAATAAACATACAAGAACTACTAATTCAGTATAAAATAACAAATCTAATCCCTACAATTGGCCTAATAGCGGCAGCCATAGGAAAATCTGCACAATTCAGCCTCCACCCATGACTTCCAGCAGCAATAGAGGGCCCCACACCCGTATCAGCCCTCCTCCACTCTAGCACCATGGTAGTAGCCGGAGTATTTCTACTAATCCGACTCCACCCCATCCTTAACAACAGCCACACTATAAAAACAGCATGCTTAATCCTTGGGGCAACAACAACCATGTTTGCAGCAGCTGCAGCGATCTCACAACACGATATTAAAAAAATTATCGCACTATCAACCACAAGCCAACTGGGGTTAATAATAACAATGCTTGGACTAAACCAACCAACCCTCGCCTTCCTCCACATAACTATGCACTCCTTTTTCAAAGCCCTCTTATTCCTTTGTTCCGGCTCATTCATCCACAATCTAAATAACGAACAAGATCTTCGAATAATAGGCAACCTACTAAAAACTGCACCTATAACCTCATCATTCACCATCATTGCCAGCCTCTCATTAATAGGCATGCCCTTCCTTTCGGGCTTTTACTCAAAAGACACCATCATCGAAACCATAACCAACTCCTACGTAAACCTATGAGCCCTAACAATCACATTAATCGCTACAATCCTCTCTGCCTCCTACAGTATACAAATTATCCTACTCATTCTAACAGGACCATCACACATCAACATTAATCCTCACAAAGAGGTTAAAAGCACTGTACCCCCACTAACACGTCTCACCCTTGCCTCCATCCTTATTGGTAGCATTACTAAGTTATCAACCCTACAAACCCCGCCTATAATAACAATACCAAAGACAGTAAAACTCACAGCATTAATTATGACAGTACTAGGAATCGCTCTATCAAAAGACTTTCTACAAACAACCTTACCCCGCCCCCCCAAAAAATCATCAACTATTAATCTATTCTTTAATCAACTAGCATTCTTCAATATTCCACACCGAACCATAACAATAAGTATACTAAAATCAAGCCAACAAATCTCAACAGAACTTATAGATTTGTGAGCCCTAGAATACTGAGGCCCCAAGGGCCTCAGTAAAACATTTATCCAACTAGCCCTCCTCTCAACACAACAAAAGAACATAATCAAAAACTACATAACTACATTTACCCTTACCCTACTTATCTCACTAATCCTGGTCCCCGCCTAAAAGGACGGAAGCCACCTAACCGAGTCCAACCTAAAACCACCAAAACAGAAAACAAGGCCACAACTAAACCTCAAGCACACACCACTAACCCTACCCCGCCCCCACAATAAAAAACACCATAACCATTCACCTCTAAACACACCCAGTCCTCCCACCCCGAATAAACCAATAAACCTTGCCCACCACCCCCGAGAACTAATATTAACATACACACTACCCCCGCTACACCCAAAAACACAACAAAATATCAAAACCCACTAACACCAACAACCACCTCACCCTTTTCCACACTCACACAATAACCAAAAACTACGACTAGCCCACCCAAATACACAATATACATCACCAATGCCGCATAAGTACGACCCATTACGACCATAGCAACACAACAAAAAAAGGAGATTCCCACTAAAGAAACAACCCCCTGATAAGGTACAACAGCAAAACTTAAGACCACAACACCAAAAAACACTAAAGCCAAAATAAAACAAAGCAGATACTCCACTAAAAACATTATTTTTACTCTTTAGAGTCCTGCGGCCTGAAAAACCACCGTTGTACATCAACTACAAAAACATGTCCCACCAACACACACTCAAACTATTTAACCTGCTCCCAGTAGGATCAAATATCTCAACCTGATGAAACTTTGGATCAATACTACTTACTTGCTTAATAATCCAAACTGTAACTGGGTTCTTCCTAGCAATCCACTACACAGCCAATATTACCCTGGCCTTCTCATCCATCACCCACATCTCCCGAGACGTTCCTTACGGCTGAATCATACAAAACACACACGCCATCGGCGCATCCCTATTTTTTATTTGCATCTACACCCACATTGCACGAGGAGTCTACTACGGATCGTACCTCAATAAAGAAGTATGACTATCAGGCACCACCCTCTTAATCATCCTAATGGCCACTGCTTTCTTTGGCTACGTACTACCATGAGGACAGATATCATTCTGAGCAGCAACCGTAATCACAAATCTCCTAACCGCTGTCCCCTATCTAGGAACAACCCTAACTACCTGATTATGGGGAGGCTTTGCAATTAGTGACCCCACACTAACCCGATTCTTTGCTCTCCATTTCATCCTCCCATTCGCCATTATTTCAATATCTTCAATCCACATTCTACTCCTTCATAATGAGGGCTCCAGTAACCCCCTGGGGACAAACTCAGACATCGACAAAATCCCATTTCACCCCTACCACTCCTACAAAGACACCCTTATACTAACAACAATAATCACCCTACTATTTATCATCCTTTCATTCTACCCCAATATCTTAAACGATCCAGAAAACTTCTCAAAAGCCAACCCCATAACTACCCCCCAACACATCAAACCTGAATGATACTTCTTATTTGCCTACGGAATTCTTCGATCAATCCCAAATAAACTCGGCGGAGCCCTCGCCTTAGTCTTATCCATCACCATCCTATTCACAATACCCTACACCCACACCGCCCACACTCGATCTATAATATTCCGACCCTTCATACAACTCACATTTTGATCTTTTATTACCACATTCACTATTATCACTTGAGCCGCCACCAAACCAGTAGAACCGCCATTCACAGAAATCGGACAGCTAGCCTCAATTCTATACTTCATATTCTTTGTAGCCAATCCAATACTGGGCCTAACAGAAAACAAAATCTCAAATCTTACCTGCTCTAATAGCTTAAGTCTAAAAGCGTTGTTCTTGTAAACCAAAGCCGGGTATCCCTTAGAGCAACAAACCACAATTAACTAATTCAGTCATCCATAAAACCGTAAAAAATAACTCTCCTAGGACCCCCCCCCTACCCCCCCCACAATTTTGATCCGGAATTCGGCCTATATATGTACTCTTTACATATATGGTCCTCATATTGCTATGTATAATAATACATTAATCGTTTTGCCTCACGCCTATTAAACGAGAATCTGACTTTAATTAATTATATACAAAACTGGCTCATTCACATACTTTCCCCCCCTCATTTTCTGGTCGTTCCATTTAACAGAGGTTGTCCGTTATTAGTAACCATGGCTATCTACTTCAAACCGGTGTCCCATGATTTATCCCTTCCCGTGAAATCCTCTATCCTTTCCCCAAAAGCACACAGTCCCGCTTTTCACGTCCATATATTGTAACTCCTCCCGTCTATGTCCTTTCCAAGGCCGCTGGTTACACCTTCAAGAACACCTCAATGGTCCGGAACCACCCCGCCTTACTTGCTCTTTCCAAGACCTTTGGTCGCACCCTTTATCCTGGTACATTTGGCCTCATGTTCTGATCACGTATGCCTGCGCCACCCCTGGTTGCCTTTTTTAAGGGTACCTTTCACCTGACACCCATATATGCCCGTTACCGTCACCCCTCTCCGGGGTAGACCATTAGTCCAGGTGGAGCTATATTCTTGGTCTAGCACTTTCTCCTATATGGATACATCTCTTAATGCTTGTTAGACATATTCTTCCATACTGCTAAAAATTCCATTCTTTTTTACTAAAGAAATCCCGCTTTGAGCACGTTTTTTTACCCGATTTTTCAAATTTTCACCAAAATCAATACCACTTTTCCATACTAAAATTACAAACCCGAAATCCTATAAGAAGTTATTTTTACAAAACCGTTTTATTTTTTTTTTAACGCGAGAGAAAAAGATTATAAGAAATCCTATCGATATTTGGAGCTACCAGATATCTGCTATTTTTCACAGCACCTCGAATCATGAGCGCAAATCACCCGTGGACAAACACAGCCGTTTTCACCTTTATTTTTGAATCACTCCCGAGTTTTTATATATTAT